ATGGCTCAGTGCGTTTACCGCAATCTTCTAGAGCTGAACGTTGTGGGATGAGGCTTTGCCATTAGTCTGTGCACACACCATGAGCAACTGAGACCCTGCAACTGATTACTGAGGATTAAGTGACTTGTAGAAGGACAGATGCTACTACAGACTAGGAAACAGAACCCACAGACTCCAGTGCAAGGCTCTTTTTGAGGGCACTCTCTGGTCTCCTGGGATCTGCTTTTCCTGCCTGGAAACTTAGCAGGGTCGAGGGCATGCCCTGGGGCCCCGATCATGCACTGATGGCAAAGAAGCCTCTGGACTCTACATGGAGCATGGAGCAAGGGAGTTTGATTGGCGCTTTTTTATTTAAGCCTAAAAGATGAATTCTCCAGCCTCTGATCCTATTTAGAATTACTCTATTTAGAATCACTGCTCTTTCCCTGTCTTCTGAAAAGACAAGCTATAGCACAAATGCATGTGTGCATAGTTTGTGCATGAATAAGTTTGTATCCATACAACAATGATGCACCTCCAGGCTGATTCTCAAAGTGACTAAACCGTCTACACACCATGCCTACTTCACACCTATACATAAAAAGTGGGATCTGTGAGAATAAAGTGTAACAAACCAGAAAGGAACACAACAGAACCAATGCAATGCGTGGATAATAGCTATAATAACTAACAGTATTACACTTTACACAAAATAATGCTAATAGAGCAAAACAGTTAATAATTTATGATTTACATGCATGAAATCGAGAAAAAGTAATCCTATAGTTACATTTTCCTCAGTATTGAGTTAATTTTAATGGAGTAATTAAATATAAAGTAATAGCAAAGTGCAACTTAAATCACAGGAATTAGTATTAACATTATTAGGGTTTAAATCTAGTTTTATGTCCTCAATACTTTATAATTAATGAAGAAAAAAGTAAGTATGTGTTTTTTCTGCTCTGAATTAACAAATCAAATGACTCACTCTAATAAGGAAAAAAGAGCTCATTTTGAAATACTGTTTAAGTTTTTATTTTTAAGTATTTCTTATGCTTCCTACATTTTCCTTAATTTTTATACCTTTATCCATCTCCGTCAGCATGTCTTACATATCGAGACCACGACCAACCACCAACATTATGACTCAAATACTAATTTTCAGCAGATAACATCCTCGTATGTATACAGTCTCACTTAATCTATGAAATAAATTTCCTTAGTTGAAAAACTCTTCATAATTTTAAAATATTAGCTTAAATTTGAAAACAAGAACTACGGAAACAAGAAGTTATATACAATAAAAAGGTTTTTTTAAAAAAATTGCTGTCAGGTAAACCAACTGAAAAGGAGCACATGAGAAAAACTTGTAAGATTTAGAAAACAATGGAAATGCAGTAGAGCTGCACTATCCATGAAGCAAACCATGCCAAAAGCAGTGTTATATGCAGTGTTACGATATTCAACTCCGTTCTTAGTTTCTAGAGAACATCAGGAGAAGGAATGTGGTACACATGCATATGCATGATTTATCTATTTTCTACTGGAAGTCAGAAGCACTCTGTAGAATGTTACATGCACTATCAACAGATAAACATTGCACCTTATGGCTGCATACAGAAAAAGCAGCAGTTGGTTGTAGTGTCTGCTCCTGTCCTTCAGCCATCCCCCCACCACACAGAAGTCTCAAGAAGCATACGTGTATTTCCCCTGAACTAGATACACTTTCAACATGTCGCTTTCAAAGTTGTGTGAATTTATTTTTAATTTCACTCAATGTATACTTAATCTCAAAATTGTATCTGTGCATACTACAATTGAAGCCCAGTGGTAATCGGTTTGCCCCAATGCAAGCAAAAGACACTGTGCTCAATCCTCAGCACAGACATAAAAGGAAAAGCGTGTGTGAGTGTGTGTGTGTGTGTGTGTGTGTGTGTGTGAATGTGTGTGCGTGCATGCATGTGTGTCTGCAAACTTTAGAAGAAAATTTCAAGGCATGACCTTCCATGATCATTTATTTCCAATTTTCTTCTCTTAAACTTAGCCCTCGGGCTGGGGGTTTAGCTCATAAGTGTCTGATGGGCAAGTGCAAGGTCATGAGTTTGATCCTCGGCATGGAAAACAAACAAACGTTAGCCATCTTGATTCTTGCCATTATTTCTCTGCCTACGTTTTGGCTGAAAATTTCATCCTAAAGCATGTCTCAAATCTTGTCAATCACATGCTTAAAAACATTTGCCATTTACTACAGGATCTTTGTTTTCTAGAAGCTAGTGCCTGAGGTCTTTGGCACCATGGAGGAGAGTCTAAATGTTCATGCTTCACATTCTGATCCACCCATCCATGTAGCTATACGTTTGCTGTTTTCTTTAACTCATAGTGATGCCTTCCACATATGGCAGAATTCTCTTTCATCCAACTTAAATATACTCCCTTTATGAAGCTTTCTATAACAAAATCACTCCTCCCCCACTCTGGCTTCTCCCCTGCACTCTCCCTCTCCCCGCCCCTCCTGTGCGCTCTTTACTCTGCTCCCCTCACGCGACTTCCCCTGTTCTACCTTTGGGTATGGCCATTTGACACATCTCTGCTAATACTTACAATGCCCTTTAAGCAAGACCGCATCTTAGATAGTAACTACTCCTGTATTGGTAACTGACAACACTCAGTTTTATGGAGTGGTGAAGTATTAAGGAAGCTCCTCTATGACGTTTATTATATTCAAACGACACGGTCCAATGGTGGCTCTAACCTGACACTCAAGTTTTCTATGCTTTTCCTAAAGAATATGACCCTGAAAGTGATACTTAATGATGAATACATTTGGGTTTCCTTCAATAATAGGCCAAATCTTGTATCTATTATTGCAAACAAATATATTAAGGAGAATCTGAGTTTTCTAGAGCATGATCTGTTGACTAATCTATTTCTGGAATCAAGAGGACATTTTAAATGGCGGTCAGCCACATTTGTCCAAAAGCCTTCAATCTCCAGTTCTATTAATTCCCAATTTTTATTTATAATAAATTATGTTTAGAGAGCCAGAAAAATACTACCACAAGAGCTTAAAAGTGCATACAAGCATAGCATGGCTATTTCATGTGTGGTTACGATGAGGGTATATACTTAAAGACTGATCAACCATGACCTGAATCTTTAAGTTTTCTCTCTATTATTCAGTCCAGAAAAAAAGTGTGACATCTTAACTCATAGCTCTTGAACTATTGCAAGTATTGAAAAAGATGTTATATGTACTGACTAAATGATGTCAAAATAATGATACTAAATTAAAAGTAAACAAAATATACAATGGTCTACAATAACACCTCTCTCTTCTCTTGGTTATATTAATACTGCACAGAATTCTTAAAGAGCTACTCATATACTTTCTCTTCCATTTAACACCCAATGTACTGATTTTTTGATGTAAGAACTCGCTAATCATTTAGCTTCTTTATTAAATTGTCTTCTCCAGAGAATCTGAAGTTCCAATTGAGAAAAATTACAGACAACAAATCTTGACTATATTAACCAGTTCTCTTAAGGCCATGAAACATGCCCTAATGTGGGCAAAATTATTTTTATAAAATGATAAGTGAAACAGACCTCATTTTACTTTTTAATGTAAGGTAATATTGCATTATTTCTGTGTTTCTTGCTAATACTTTTACTGTTACACAACCTTGCTACAGAAAGATCTAAAGTGATACATTTTAAAAGTATATTTAAAAAATTCACAAGTTGTATAAGTTTTAGGTCAGGGATAAAATATTATGAAAATACCTTGGTGTGATCAACGGTTTCTTCCAGCAAAATTTCTTCCAGCAATATATATATATATATATATATATATATATATATATATATATAACTGTGATATAAGAACTAAACTCTAGCTTATTTGTGTATGTCTGTATTTGTATAACTTGTTCCAACATTTCTTAAAATACTATCCACAAAATACTTGATTCAAAACAGTTTGAAACACCATTTATATACGAAGGCCTCAAGAGTCCACTTCAACCCAGTTGGTTCCGAATCCCTGACCGTGAAACATCAGAGAGCAGGCGTTTAGAACAAGTTTGCCCACGTGATTCTGATGCACCCCACAGTTGAGAAATCAACCAACCGTATGTATCTGAAAACCATACCTCATTGTGCTGTTAATGCTGTATGTTCAAAAGAAGTCACCAAATGATTCCTTCCAAAAAATACGGATTCCAAATGCTCATCCTCAGTGGAAAAGTCAAATCTGTTTCTAAATCTCCTGCTAATTCAGCTCAATTAACAATAAAGAGGTCCATTATCTCGTTTTTTCAGGAGCCCTAAAAGGCTGACAGCAAATGAGCGCGGCACCCTGTCCGCACCTCGAGCTCCTGACCTCCGCCCTCCACGGGTCGGCATATGGAACCCCAACAGCACTCACAGGAGCCCCAAGTGACACTCAGCGCGGGCCCTGGACTCTCCAGCCCAGGGGACCGCCTGCAGAGCTGCCCTCCAGCCCCGAGCCGCGCGGTCCCGTCAGCACCTCGGACAGCGCCCGCCGGAAAGCGGGGCGCGGAATCTGGGAACCCCGGGCGCCGCGGAAACGGACCGAGACGCCTCGGAAGGCACAGGCCAGCGCACCCCGGTCCCCCTCCAGCTGCCAGCGTCTCTTTCCAAATTGCAGCCAAAGAAACCGCAAGGCCCTCTTACCTGGAACGGAGACCCACCCCACCGCTCGCCTCTCTCGGCTCCGGCGCCTGTTGCTAGGGCGGCGAGACCGCGCTCGGGAGCCTGGGGACCTGGGGACGCCACGGAAGAGCCGCGGACGCGGGCGGCGGGGCAGCGGCGGGGCGGCCCGGGACCTCGGGGGGCGCGCGCCCTGCGCCCCGCGGCGGGGAGGAGGGGGCGGCGCGCCGAGGCCAGTCCGGGCGCTCCGCGCTGCGGCCCGAGGCCCGGCGCCTTCCAAGGCCTCGGCGCGGTGCACGCTCGCGAGCCGGCGCGGGGCGGGGGCGCGGGGCCGGGAGGGCAGCACTCACCATGTTGACTTCGGAGACCATGTCGATGCTGGCGATGTCGATGTTCATCCCCACGCAGACCGGGGGACCTGCGGAGCACACCGCACGGGGTCAGCGGGCCCCGCGCCCCCGCCCGCCGCCGCCGCCGCAGCCCGGACGCGGCCCGCTCCCTCCTCCGCCCAGGCCGCCGGCGCCGCGGGGCGCGGAGCCCGCAGCGGCCGCGCGCACCCCACTCACCCCCGAAGTCGGGTCTCAGGCGGATGTCGTAGCCTTTCAGCAGCTTGTCCACCGTCTCCTTCACGAAGGACATGTTCCCGGGGTCGTTCACGCTGGGGAGGGCAGGCGCGAAGCGGGTCAGGTGCGGCTCGCCCCGCGCCCCTCGCCGCGCGCCCCTCACCGCGCGCCCCGCGCCCGCCCGGCCGCCCACCCGCGACCCTACCTCTGGGCGCAGCACACCACCGCCACCAGCACCGGGGCCGAGAAGATGCCGAAAAGCCTCCCTCCCGCAAAGCCCCACATCCCTCCGCCGCGCCCCGGCACGGGGGAGGGGGCGCCCCGCCGCCGTCGCGACCCGCAGCCGCGGCTGCTCCTGGTGCTCCCGCCGCCGCCGCCGCCGCGCTGGCCCGGAGCGGAGGGGGAGGGGCGAGGGAGGGCGGCCGGGGCGGAGCCAGCGCGCACCCCGCCTCCTCCGGCCCCGACTCAGCCTCGGCCCCGAGCGCGGAGGCCGCTGCGGCGGGCCGGCACACTGCGGGCCGAGGCCGGGCTGCGAGCTCGGCTCCGGGGTCCCGCGCCGACGGAGAGACTGGGCTGCGGCCGGCGGCGGTGCGGGGGGACACAGCGAGCCCCGAGCCGGGCCGAGCCTCCCGGCGCCCGACCCCCGCCCAGCCCCGCGCAGCCCGAGCCCGCCGGGGACCGCGCTGCGCCGCGCGCCCCAGAGTCCTCGCCTTACCTGCGGGGACTCGAGCCCCGGGTCCCCAGGGCCCAGCACAGCCAGATGGGCAGCAGAAAGGCCGGGAGCCCCGAGCACATGGCGCCGGCTGCGGCTCCGGCCTGGCCTGGGTGGGATCTGTTCCTCCCCCGCAGCAGCGAGCGTTCAAATGGCGATGTGGGGATCCCCGCCCCCACCCCACACGCACCCGGGGCTTCCCCGCGGACCCAGCCTCCAGCCCCTGCGTGGCTGCCCCATTATTTATTCATAAATATGACCGTGGAAGAAAATGGGCTCCTGAAACTATTCCTCTCCTGCCATCCTTTCTGCTTATATAAATACAGCTGCAGTTCGTGATGAAGACACAGCCGAGACTGCACGTTGTTATCAATAAACCCGCGTCCAAATCAGACGCAGAGACGTCGTTCTGGGAAGGAGAAGGCCCCTTTCTGGAGAGCTGGAACTGTCCGTGGTCCTTAAAAAGGCACAGATCTTCGTGTTCCTAGGACAGGCCTGCGTCCTTCGGACTTAACGGAAGCTCACTGGCTTGCTGGGCCAGAAACCGACCGGTGCGCATCGATGCCCACCACTCCCTGCGTGTCCGTGGTGCGCCAGGATCCGCCTTCTCACCCACGGCCACAGGTTGTATATTTTTTTAGTGGCTGAACCTTACTGAAATTCTCTGTACTTAAGACTTTTATCAGCCAGGGTGATGGTTATGCAATACTACTGTAATCATCCAACAGAACTCAAAAATCAAACTAATTTTCAAGTTTTATAGACTTCTTCAGGACTTACTGAATGGTTAATGATAGATGACTTTTCAGGGTCCACTCGTTTTTTTAAACAAACCTTTCTCTCATAGAGACCTTATACAGGTAAAAAGCTAAATTTAGATCTTTATTATCAAACTATCATGTTTATGTGCATTCATTTTAAGTATCTTTGCCTTTTCTAAAAATCAGCAATTTTATTTTCGGAACAGTAAATGTGACTGCAGTGCCTAAAAGGTTGAGAGATAAATATAACTCCCTAATTATTTTCTGGAAAAGTCTATTCATGACTGCTTTGAAGTCTGCATCCTGTTAATGTACAATGGAAGTGTCAGTGAAGTGATATCTCTATTCTCTCTCTCTCTCTCTCTCTCTCTCTCTCTCTCTCTCTCTCTCTCTCACACACACACACACACACACCAACACAGGGGCCATAATGTAATCTGTTTCTCCCACTTCTTTGAGAGAAATGCCCTGTGGGGCATCCTGGCTATCAAGAATAAGGCATTTGAATAAAGCCAACAAAGTGGCCAGAATTTCCCCCCTGCTACTATTTCACATGTTCTAAAACCTGAAAGAACACACTACACTGTCCTATCATTGTCCAGCAGGCACACCTAAATGTCCACCTCTCCTGGGCATTTAGTCTGTCTTTTCCCCATGGTACTGAGGATCAAATCCAGGGCCTTCATACTGAGTTATATTCCAACCTTTTTTTTTTTTTTTAACTTTGAGATAGGCTCCCAATAAGTTGCCTAGGTTGGGCTTAATCTTACAACCCTGCCTCCGCCTCCTAGAGTTTTGGGGTCACAGGTGTGCACCTTGGCCTTTCTTATTACCCAGCTGCCACCCCACACCCATTTCTCCAAGAGCCTGACCAGCACTGCATGGGAACAGTCCTCCTCCCTGCCCACTGCCCAGGCTGTTTGCCCCTCACTTCCCACTTGCAGCCTCTCATCTGAAAAAGAGATGGACCCTGCCAGAGAGCAAGCTTAGTAACCACACACGTGGAATGTTAAGTCTTCCGGACAAGAAAAATCCACAGTAAGTCCGTGGATGGACAGCTCTCCTTTGATGGCCTCCTGAGAAACGTTCCAGGATGCAGTAGTTGCTGGACTGTCCAGGATAGCCCTGTAAGGTGGGTCCATCGGGGATGTCCGTGCTCAGCTTTGGCCTACAAGTCACAAGCATTCCGATCTGCTCTTTCCCTACCTCAGTCCATTTCTGCTTCAGTCTCCTTTTCATATTACTCAAGAGTGTCATCTGCGTTGCCTCAGGATACGTTTTCTAGGTACCATAGGCTAAAAAAGTCTCACTTAAAGCCAGTCCTCCTTAAACAGAAAAGCAAAATAAAAGAGAAGGACTCACATATGCATACTGCCTATCCTACGCCAACACCTCAACAAAGGCTAGACCTGGAGCGCGTCTCCTTCCAGCGCACAGCCCCTCGCAGTGTGACACAAACCTCGGCTACTTGCCTGTCTTCATAGGTGGTGATATGCAGTCACTAATTCAACAGGAAATTACTACTTCAGTTCTTGTTTTCACCAGAAAAACTCTACCATGGATACACTTTCACCACACCAAAAAAATGAGATAAACACCATTTTCTTGGTCATAGAATGGTTTTGTGTAGGGGCTCTGGCTAGTTCTCCAGAAATACAGTAATTGGTATTAAAGACCGAGACCAGGCTGGCCCTGTAACAAAGGCCTGTGATCTCAACTACTTAGTAGGCTGAGCCTGGAGGATCACAAGTTCAAGGCCAGCTGGGGTAGCTTATGGAGAACCTATCTCAAACTGAAAGGGGCTGGGGCTGGGGTGCAGATGTAGAGCGACTGCTTAACCTGCAAAGGCCCTGAGTTTGCTCCCCAGTGCCCATGATAGAAGGTGAGCCCAGCCCTCCTCCTGGTCCAGCTTCCTGTGTGCCACACAAGCCTTTCCTCATACATTCTGTCCTTGTTCTGATGCCATCCATCCGAGATTCTCGCCAGAGCTGAGCCAACAACAGTGTCTTGGCTTCTCCAGAATGCTGAGCAAGGTAAGCCTTTTTTCTGCATAAAGGATTCCAAGGGCGTTTGTAATAGTGGCAGAAAATGGACTAACACAGGAGCTCCAAAGTAGGGGGAGGAAGGAAACAGCAGGAGTCACCACGTGGTCTTGTTTCCCAGCCCGTGTTTGTCCACTTGGGCTGGCCCAAATGCCTGTCACCGAACTGGGACTTGTTTAATTATGGTTGCCTCTCACACACTCCTTTGTGACACTCTGCTCCTGTGTCACCTCCAGTTCCAGGTAGACGCTGACCTACACTCTTTTATTATAGATAGATCTGAGTTTCTGCCTGCATTATTCACTCCACATGGTAGAATTGAGCAATGTGTACTATGTTGCAAATGGCTTCTTTGATTCAGGCAAGTTCCGAGACTTCACTGTGTCACTGCAGAGCCATTGTCTTCATTTCACTGCTGAGCCGTGATCTATCATATGGTTATTCCCTAAATCATTTATCCATCCACTCACTAATGCATTTCCCTAGTTAAACGATTACAGGCAGAGGTATGTATGTTATTATCTTTGTATAGGCAAATGATTTCTCTTTTCTTGGTAGATACCAAGGAGACATCTGGCTGAATAAACATTTCAAAATAGTTGGAAGATTTCACATTTCACCAGCAGTGACGTCAAATGCTGTCTGCCCTCTGCCCTCTCTCCCCACTGTGAAATGCAATATCTCAATATGGTTTCATTTGCATTCACCTGTGACATGGAGGCAAGCCAGTGAGGGTGCATCACTGGTAAACTGGCTACTCATCTGCTCTTCTGGAAGATGTAATATTTTTTGCACATTGTTAGTTACATTATCTATGGTTTTATTAGATGCAAATATTTATTTGTATATTTATTAGATGCAAATATTCTATATTTGGAATAAAAGTCCTGTGTTCAGAAACATATGATGGAATACTTTCTCCAAATCTGTAGCTTCCCTGTTTCATTCTCTAAATAATTTCAAAGAAAACAAAAGTTTAACTTTTTCTTTTGGGTTAAAGTTTTGTTATTCTATCAAAAAAATCTTTGCCTAATCAGAAGTTGAGATTTTTTTCATGCTTTTGCTCAAAATCAGCCTCCATATTTAGATTTGTGATCTACTTTAGCTCTTACTGTGAGTCTGGATCAAGGATCTTTTCTTCCATGTGGATGCCTAGCTGCTGAAGCGTGATGTATTGAAGGTATTTTTCTCTTCTCCACTGAGTTATCCTTACAGTGTTTTGAAAATCTATTGATCTTTTATGTGTGGGTGTATTTTTATACTATTTATTATTTTCCATTGTCCTATATTTATATCTTTGCACTAATTCATACTGCTTTGATTAATACAAGTATAAATAAACATTAAAGTTAAATAACATAATTCATATAACTGCTCTTTTAAAAAATCACTTTGACTATTGAAAATTGTTTTTGCATTTTATATATAGTTTAGAATAACTATTTTGGTTTCTCTGAGAAAACATGTTGGGGCTGTAAGTTATGTTATATTTGCTCTATAAATTAATTTAGGAGAAATTAACAATATTGAACCTTCCAAGTTACAAAAATTCCATATCCCTCCATTAATTTATATCATCTTTAATTCTTTTCAGATATATTACATAGTTTTCAGTGTAGAGATTCTGCATTAGACTCACTACATTGTAATCCTGTTTTAAGTGCTGTTTTCAATATTTCATTTTCAAATTGTATTTGCTAATGTATAGAACTATGACTGATATATATTGTCATTGCATCCTACAAATTTGTTTGGTGGGCTTATTACCTTTATAGAATTATGCCTTATCCAAGAGACTTCAAGGTGTCTTTAGAGATAGCTAGTTTTATTTCCTTGTCACCTAATTCTCTGAGTTTTTCAAATTTTTTTTTCTTTATTCACAGTTCTGGTTGGAACTTCCAGTGCTATAGAGAGTACAAGTCACCAGAGTGGCGATTTTCCTTGTTTCAATTTTAGGGAAAATGGCACACTTTCCTTTCCTGTCTTTAATAGCTAAACCCAATGCTAACATCTCCCTCTTAATATTTTTCTCTGCTCTCTTTCCTCTTTACTTTTCCCATTTTTTCACCTCCTGGAAAAATTTAGTCCTGAAACAAGACAGTAAATGAAATACTTGGCATGACGCACGGAATGTCAGCGCTCTGGCTCTGGCGTGGGGGTTCAGGAGCCACAGAAAGTGGCAGGAGATGGAGCTTCACATGGAGTTGGAGGGCGTAGGAAGGCTGCATGTTGGGTGAAAGGCTTGGTTGAAAGTCACAGCCAAAGAGAAGCAAGGCGGAAGGGAAAGGAAGGCCCAACACAAGTGTCAGAGCCCGCAGGAAGTGAGGTCAGCATTGATGAGGGCAGAGACACCTGGTGAGAAATCAGAGTTAAAGTGAAGAGGATGCGGGTGCAGGCCAAAAAATCAGAGTTTCCGAAGATAAAGAGAGCGTCAGTGTGTGGAAGCCTGAAAATCCACCGCTGAGAAGACTGAGCCCAAGCAAGTGGAGGAGGAAGAAGAGCAAGAGGAGGCAGAGGGACAGAGGAGAACTAAGGCAAATGCTTCTTGGCCAGGGCGCATCCACCTGGAATGTGAGGATGGAGCCAGGCCACATCAGAAAGGCACCCGCCGATGGGCCCAGAGGGGCCCTGTAATGGAAGCATGAGGGTGCGTCCCGATGGCACAGCACCTGCCCAGGAAGAAGAAGCTCAAGGAAAGAGGCGGGAATTCATGCGCTAAGGAGGCCAGAGTGGGGAGTCAGAGCCTGGGGAGGGGAAAGAAAGACTGCAGGGAACGCGGTGGGATAGCAAGAAGAGGCGGGGTATGTGATGGAGGACTGGTCAAAGAAGTAAACACATGTGTTGAGGGTAATGAAAACTAGTTTCTCTCTATTGCAAATGAGTGTCACACAAAGGACTTATATCCAGAACACATAAAGAACTGAAAAACATCAGGCCCCTCAAATTCAAAGACCCGCTCCAAAAATGGGCATCTCAGATGAACACACAGTTCTCAGATGAAGGTACACAAATAGCAAATAAATACGTGGAGAAATGTTCACTATCACTGGGCATTCGAGAAATGCAAATTAAAACAGCATTGAGATTTCATCTCACCCTGGAAAGAATAGCCACCATCAAGAAATCAGCTGATAACAAATGTTGGCAAGGCTGCAGGGAAAAAGGACACTGCTCCACTGTTGGCGGGAGTGTAGACTGGTGCAGCCACGGTGGAAATCAGTGTGGAGATTCCTCAGAAGACTAGGGTTGGAAGTTCCATTCAGTCCAGCTATTCCCTCCTGGATGTTTTCCCAGAAAAACTGAAAAGATCATGTCACAGTGATATATATGCACCCGTGTTCACAGCAGCACAACTTGTAATAGCTAAATCTTGGAAACAACCAAGATGCCCATCAACCCTGCAGAGTGGATGAAAAAGATGTGGTATTTTATACAATGGAATATTACTCAGCTATAAAAAGGATGCTCTTGAGGCCTTCATGGGTAAATGGAGACAACCCGAGACTCTCCTCATTAGTGAAATAAATAAGAATCACATTTGTAAATATCACATTGTCTCTTTAGTATAAAAAAGTAATGAAAACTGAAGGAGTAATAAGATCTGAAATGTGTAATAGCTATTGTAAAAACAAAAGAGAAGGAAAGTGCTCTAAAGGCTAGAACTGCATGTATGTGTAAGTGTGTAAGATAGCCAACATATTAGTAAGTTTGTGTTGGATCACTGAACAGGACGGTTTGCACTCTCATTACTTGACTGTCCACTTTCTATGCTTTAATTTTGCAATTTGAACAATTATTTCTAAGATGACAATATGTAACTTGTCAACTAGTGATTTCTTAGCCTTTTGTCTGTTTTGCTTTTTTTCTTTCAATAAAAAAATGAGTGTCATAAATATGAAAAGAGAAAATAATTCCTGTGGTATGAGAGTGTGATTTAATGTATCAGTGTGATGTTTGCAAAACATATTCATGTATGTAAATATGCACATACATATATATATGCATGCATACGTGTGTGCGTGTGCATACAATCACCCCATGTTGTCAGGAAGTTAGTTTCAGGGCCTTGGATGGTACCAAAATCTCTAGACGCTCAAGTCCCTCATATGAAAAGTTTAGTATTTGAAGCTATGCCCTATACATTCTCCATATACTTTAAATCTTTTTGAAATTATTTAATGTCTAACACAATGCAAATGCTATGAAAATGAGTGATATTCCATAATGTTTAAGAAGTAGTGATAACCGTTTCATATAAATCAATCTTTAAAAATGTTTCTATATGAAATAATGCATATCAGAGCTGAAATAAGTGAGGAAGTAGAAGACTAATGCAGAGAATCAATGAAACAGCTTTCGCACTTTGAAAAGGTAAGCAGAGCAGATAAACCGTCAGCCAAACCAAACCAAATAAGGGGCCAGGAGACTCTGCTAACTAAGTTACAGCTGGAGAGGGGAGGGGAAAAGAGTCCCCGGAGATCTAGCCAGTCAGTAGGGACTATTTTGAAAACGTAGCACAATAAATTAGAAAATCTGGAAGAAATGGAGAAATTCTTAGACACTTACGACCTACCAAAATTGAGCGAGGAGAATATTTATATTTTAAAGGTAAATAAAATGTTTATTAAAAGATACGTTACAAAATATTCTGTTTTTCTCTTCCAAGTCGACATGATATCAGAAATATCCCTGGAATACACTTATATTAATGAATTCAGACCAGCTTCTGATGATTACCATTTTCTTCAGTAAATATTTTTCTTCGAAGTGTCTTTTTAACAACACAGTTGAGAATTTTAGAAGTTCATCAGCTTATGGTTTCCAGAATATAGTTTTATTTTATTTAAGAGGAAAAAACACAGAAAAGAAAAACAAAAAGCAAAAGAGATAAATAATAACAACAACAGGAAACTCAAAACAGTAACAGTATAGGTTCAAGAGGGTATTTTCCAAAACAGATTAATAACAACAATGACTAAAAAGTGTCCCAAACAGAAAACCCAGCACTGGGACAAATTTACTGATGAAGTTTGTGGGACATTTAAAGAAGAATTAGAACAAATTTTCTTCAACTATTCCATGAAACAGAAGGAAGGTCTAAACTCAATCTATGAAGCTAGTATCAAAAGCCTGACACAAAATCCAGATCAAGATTAAAATACAAACATTCCTACCGTCCAATATCATTGGTGAACATAGATGCAAAAAGCCTCAATAGTTTCTTTTTTTTTTTTTTTTTCATTTTATTAGTACAAGTTGGCAGCCCATGCAGTTTGCAAGCATCTTGGGGCGTGGGCTCCTGTACAGACCACAGCTTGTTCCCTTTTAAATCCCTCTTTCCCTTTGCCCCCCTCCCCTTGCTCTGCCAATTCCCCTCCCATGTTTCTCTGTCTCATGCTATGGCATGTAACGTGTGCACCAACTGTGGCTCTGGGGCTCCTGGAGACACATGTGTTTATTCTACTTACTTGCCCTTCCCTCCTCACATCCTGCCCTTTTTCTCTTGGGCCACTTTCTTATTATAAAAGATCCACCCTCTTTTATTCATCCTTTATTATTCCTTTTGCTTGTATTTTGCCTTGCTCGAGTGGAGGACACCATACAGTATTTCAGCTTGTGTGTCTGGTTCATTTCTCTTCCATAGAGAGAAAATTCAGCCACACATTTAAAGGACCACATATCACTATCAAATATCAAATGGATTTCATTCCAAGGATGAGGTGGTTCAACATACACAAGTGAAACTTACTAAGCCACATAAATGAAATAAAAAATAACAATCATGTGATCATTTCAGTCGATGCAGAAAAAATATTCAGCAAAATTCAACATTACTTCATTTAAGAAAAAAGCCTTGACAAAATTATGTAGAGAAAATTCTTACTACAATATTACAGGGGCTATTTATAGCAAACTCACATTCAACATCATACTAAATGTGAAAAACTTGAAGGCATTTCCTGTAAAATCAAGAACATTGTTCAATGTATTATTTGAAGGTTTAGCCTGACCAGTTAGGCAGGAAGAAGAAATAAAAGGATACAAATATGAAAGCAAACAGTCAAATCATGCCTGTTTTAGAAGATCATAAAAACTCCACCAGAACATTTTTGGATCTGATAAACAAAATCAGCAAATTGACAGGATACAAAATTAACATGAAACTCAACAGCTCTTCGATCTACGAACAATGAACTTACTGAGAAATACATCAGGAAAACAATTCTACTCTGACTCACTTCAAGAAATACCTAAAAGTAAACATAATCAAGAAGGAAAAGATTTCTACAGTAAGAATTACAGAACTCTGAAGAAAGAAAATAGTAAGACAGTAGAAGACAGAAAGGACTCCCATGTGAGAAGAAAATTGTGTTAACTGTCATATTACCACAAGCATTCTACAGGTCTAGTGCAGTCCCATGAAAATACGGAAGACACTGTTCAAAGAACCAGGAAAAAAGTCCTAACATTCCTAAGGAAACACAAATCCATAAAAGTGGAAGGAATTCTAACAAAAATAGCAACACTAGAGGCATCGCAACTGTGGGTTTCAGAATTACTACTTAACCACAGTACCCAAAGCAAAATGATTATTCATTACGCATTGAAAAATGTTTTAAAAGTTAATTAATTAGTAGAAAAGTTAATTAGTTAATTAGTAAAGTTAATTAATTAATTAGTTAATTGGTACCTGTGTGAAAACACGTGTATAGACCAATAGAGTAAAAAAGGTAACAAACCCACACATCTACAGCCATTTAATTCATGGCAAACATGCAAAAAACATACATTGGAGAAACATTCCCAGCGTAGCTCCCCCTCTCCACACTGCTTTGCAGAACAAGAGAACAGTCATCTAGCTGAGCCCCCATGTCCTCCCTCCCCCACTCTTCCCACTCTCCGTAACAACTATCAAACGTTCTGGTCAACACTCTCTAAAATTGCACACATGACAAAGAACGGATGACATGTGTCTCTCTTGCTGACTTATTTCCCTAAATCTAATATCCTCCAGCTCCATCCGGTTGGCTGCAGATGACAGGAAAATATTCATTTGTAGTGGAGCGATAGTCCAAAATTTTATATACACGCCACATCTCCTCTCTCTGTCCACCCACTGACGGACATCTATGCTAACTCCATAGCACAGCCATTGTGGGTGCTACAGCAAGAAATAGGAACACGCAGGTGTCTTTCACGGTCTTTTCTTTTCTTTCCTTTTTATTTTATTATTTGCTTACTTTTGGTGGTGCTGGAATTGAACCTGGGAACCTTGTCCTGAGCAGTATTCCAAGCCTCCTGTTTCCTTTATGTTGAGAAACAGTTTCACTAAGCTGCCCCTTTGAGACTTGAATGTGTGACCCCTTGCCTCAGTTTCCCTGAGGCGATGCTGGGTGACAAGGGGCACGACCTTGCCTGCTGCGGCTGGCTTTTCTGCTAAGCTGGCATCACCTCCTCTGCGTGCATACCAGAAGCCGTGCAGCTGTGTCCTTTTAGAACTATTCCCGATTCCCTGAGAAGCCTCGCAGTGGTCCCTGCGGTGGCCTTGCTAATTTATATTAGCTCAGTCAGGGACAGCTCCCTCTCCCCGCATCTCCCACAGCGATACTTAGACTTTGCCTTTCCCTTGTTGATTTTCTGTTTATTGTGCCATCAGTTACCGAGACAGGAGCGCTGAGGTCCTTGCATAGCATGGTATTTGTCTGTTCTGTGAGCTTTGGCTACCTATCTATTGTATGTTTGTGCAGGGTTACTATAACATACAGGATCATTATATCTTTCTCATGAATGGTCTCTGTTGTTATTTTGAAATGTCTTTGTTCCTTGCTGATGGTGTTCCTTGCCTGAAGTTTGTTTTTCTTATTTTAAAATAAATACCCAGCTCTTTTCTGATAACATGTTCTTTTGCTGCCAACTATCTGCTCATAATTCAAATCTTTCTTGTGAATTAATTTAGTCAGCTCATTCTTTACTTAGTCTGAGAGTGTTTGCCTTTTAACTGGAATGCTTAATTCAAAATTGTTTAGCAGATATTTAACATAATCCACACATTTAGTTCTTTTAAAATTTCCGATGACTATGACAAAAAGTTCAGTGGAAACATCCAGGATTCATTTCAGTTTATTTAAATACAGTTTATTTACCCCAATATATCCAAATTGTATTTCAGTTTGTAACCAGTATAGAAACAGGAGTTAAAATTTCTCACGCTTCACATTCAAAATCGACTACTGTATTCTTGACATATGTACCTCTTAATTTGGGACAAGAGCATTTCAGAAAATCAATTTTTCATCACATTCAATTTTTTCATTATTATGGGATTACCAAGAACACCTTTTGAAAAGTATTTACCGAATGGCTTACAGCATTCATCTCTAAGTAGCCAATTTACGGTCAAATGCTATAATACCACTTATTAGTGGAGGTAAATACCTGACAGCAGAACAATTCCAGCATCCCTAAAATGTGTGACATTTCCTCAGTTCATATTTGCACACTGTAAATACCGTGATGCATTGGGATCGCTATAAATTCCCCTTAAGCAACGCTTTAACAGGCAGAAGCTACCACAGATTTGCCATTTCTAGCACTCATCACTCTAGGAAAATCTACATTTCTCTCTGGGTATCGCTTTTGTTTTGCCTAAGAAACTATCACCGTCTTCTAGTGCATGTCTGTTGGTCACAAACTGTCTGACCTTTGATTGTCTAAAACTCTTTAGTTACGAGGTTTTTTGGGCCAGATATTAAAAGCTAAATTAACATTTTTGGTTTCATACTTTAAAAACAGTACTGCATTGTTTTCTGGTTTACGTATTCCAATGGGAAGTTAGCAAAGTTTCTTATCTTTGTTCTCATGTGAACAATATCTTTACATGCACTTCTCAGTTTCTTCCAAAGTTCCCACC